ACGTACCACTTGAGTATATTATCAATCCGTCACGTACCATTAATGATTAAAAATAGAACCATACAAACTTCACATAGTTAAAATACATTTATTTTAAATAAAAAGGCAGTAAAATACTAAATTAAAATTATTATTTATTTATTAATACAAATCTATTATTGTTTTTAAATTAATATATGAGTTAAATATTAAATTTTTAATTTCCGTTCTGCCACCACCCGGCCTTTCGCGTACTTTTTCGTAGTCTTTTGCGCACCATTAGTGGTACCCGTACCACAGTTTGAAAACCGCTGCTCTAAAGTGTATATTATTACAGAAACTAATATTTTAATTCAACAAAATTAATAACGTCAGTTTTATCATAAATTAGGTATACGTAGATTTTATTGTTAGTTTAAAATACTATATAATCACACAAACATTTCCAATTTAGATGATTTTTGTTATATATTATTCTTATAAATTACTATAACACGAAAAAATAGTATCATACCATCGTCAATGAGTAAAAATATTTTAGTAAATTAATCATATCACTTTTTGTGGAAATAATGGAAATATAATAGATTAGAGTGTTTAACATTTGATTAGTAATTTATAGGTTGTTTTAATATTTAATATTCGTGTAATATGCATTATGCAAACATTTTTCCGTGGATTTTATATAATATAGGTAATTGTATTTACAATGTATTCAATGAGAACTGAAGGTAAAATTTAAATAATATTTAATATGTATTAAATCAATAATTATTAGATGTTAAAATTAATGTAGAAGAGAATTACTTCAAAAAGAAATTTGAATGTTCTTTTTTTAATTTACGTATTAAATTGTTATAAATATAATAGATATAACTATTTATTAGGTTTTTATCAACGGGTCATTGGAGTACTAAATAAAATATGTATTACGTATTACATTATTAAAAATATGATACAAACATTTTGGAGTGATTAAAAACAATTTTTTAATTATTCAATTGATTTATATTATCAAGTATAATAGTTATGATTGATCTAACACTTCAATCATAAATATATAAATATATATCAGTGTTAAGTATTTAATTCGATAATTTTTTTTACCTAATCATTTTTTAATTCCTTAAATTAAGTCTTTTGTTAGTAAGCAAATTTAAAAATATAATTTTTTGAATGTACAGTTTAGGTTTAAATTTTTATCAAAAAGGTATTTACCAAAAAATTATATTAATGTTATAATAGAAATGTTCATAGACCTAAGATTAATATTATGGAAATTCAAAAAATATTTTGAGAGCATAGAGAATAATTTTCATAAGACAGTAAAAATGTTTACATGAATACCATCAATTATTGTAAATTGACTATATAATTTATATTTTTATTATTATATATTCATATAATTAAGTAGGATTATAGAGGTGGTTATTATGTAATAAATACAACTTTACAAGTTTTGTTTACATTTAGCTTATACAAATATTATATTTTATATACAAACTACAACTATGTGTTATTTATAATAATTATTTAAACTGCATTATATGGATAAATATAGCTATAGTTACAGTAATAGTATTTATAATTTTTGAAAACATCTAAGGAATATTTTAAAATAGAAAGATTTGAATACATTAGTATAGACATGTTGTTTATAAATTTGCGCAAAAACCAAATGAAATATAACACTACTATTAAATTGACATACCATATTGATAATTGCAAACAGATAAATTTTATCATATGAAAAATCAGCTAAGTATTGAGCATTAGAATAAAATCTACATTGTTGGGTGTAATTTAAAACCTAAAAAAAAAAGGTATTCAATTAAAAATACACTTTTCTTCTTTTTCTTCTCCTTCGCTTTTCTCCTAACTATTTGAGGTTGGGCTACTTTTGTTTAAAACCTCTACTCGTCTCAATTTTCTATATCTCCTACACACACACCAATAACCCTCATATAATTTTCAATATTCTCCAGCCATTTCTTTTTTAGTCTTGTTTTTCTTCTTTTCCCTTCAATGTTAATTTTCATAACCACTCTTATTGCTTTGATTTCCTCTCGCTTCATCACATGTCCAAACCATCTCAGTTTATTTTCTTTCATCTTGTCCACTATGGATGCTACACCAATATATGTTCTTTATTTTATTTTTATTTTTGTTATTCCAATCATCAAAACATTCTCATTCCTGCAACACTCATATTTAGTTTTATTCTTCTGTTCACCACCCAACAGTTCAAACCATATAGCATAGTTGGTCTTACCATACTCTTATAAATTTTTTTTTTTCAAACATAAACTTTTAATTTTATATAAAGTATTTATATTATATTTTAAATTTATATTAAGTTCAAAACAAAGAGATTCAGAACAAAAATTATAGTTGTATAATATTATATAATTAAAATAAATTTTTTGAATATATTCCCTATTATTGTGAAATAGTACTTTAAATGTGAAATATTAATGTTTTTACACAAGCATAGGAAAATAATGTAAAATTATTAAAAAAAAAAAGTTAGTATACCTAAAAGTGAAAAATCTCAAGGAAACTAATCATTAAGATTTCTGAAATATAAAAAAGTAATAGGAAATTTATTGAAAGAAATATAATTTAATTATTTCATTAATAAATAAAAATAATAACTTTTTTAAGACAATTTTACCATAATGACAACATTAATTAAATTTTCTTACTAAAAATTAAATAAGAACATTTAATTATGGATTATTAAATTTTAAACTATTAGGTAAGAAATATTGTTTTCATTTGGAAGGTAATTTACTGATTTGTTAACATTTGTACTAATATCTATGCATATCAATTGGGTATTAAAAATATTTAATATAATATGGTGACTAAATAATTACAAAAGAGGAAGAAAAAAAACTATATCTATCACAGATAAATAATCAACTCTAAATGTTAAGTATTTAAGATATGTTTTTCCTTATCATCATGGATGTATTAGGATGCAGTAAAACAATCAGGAATCATGTCCAATATATTTATGAATAAAATGGTTTATTAAATATTAGCATTCAACATTTTAATTTTATGGTTAAAGGATAATTATATAGTGCTTTCTCTATTATACAATAAAGCAAAATAATTATAACATTGTATAAGTTAATGAATTTATTTATTATATAAATACTTAATCCTTAAAACACAATAGTTAAAATTGTCATCTATGTGTATGTGACTTAGTGTAGTAAAATATTGATTTTTGTATTTTCAGTAATGTTGGTTTTAACTTCTAAGTCAACAAAACAACATAATATGTATAATATGATGTATGAAGAAGTAAATTATTCAATAAGTTTTTTATTCATTGATAACTTGATTTTAAGCAGAAAATGTAGGAAAATAATTTCTCATGTAGGTTAATCTAAAAAAAATGTATGATTTTATGTTTTTTAAGACATTTTTTAAACATTGTAAAATATACACTTAAATTTACATAGTTGGAAATATAAAAACAATACTGTTATATAATTCATGGAATTGAAAATCACTAGTTAAAAATTATTTTGGGCAGACTTATGATTTTTTGACTCTTATGTTCTAAATTAATTTAGTATAATCTATAAAAAAAATAATTTACATCAATAACACCAAATCAGGGTATTTAAATAATAAATAGCTCTACATATTTATATTTAAGAATTAAAATCATTAAATTATAAATGTTTAACATATACTCAAGAATATACCTGCAAATATTTTACATATAATATTTAGATCATTATTTATAATAACACCAGTATTAATTGAGTTACCTTAATTTTTAAATACTTAAAGCATATAAATAATAATCACTTAAATTTGTGCCTAGTCCTATGTTTGGTCATAAGAAATTGGGGACATGTCTAATGAAGTAAATTCATTTAGAGTATACATGTATCCAAGAGTTTTTAGGAAATTAAATGTTTTGCTCATAATAAGAACATACTTAATTATTGCGATATTGTTTAATAATAATATATGATACATCCAGACTTTTTATGACTTGAACCTAATTCCTGGAAATAGAAAACACTCAAGAAAGATTTTCTTTTGAGTCCTATGAAACCTGATTAGCACAAGTAAATAAGCAAAGGATTAAAAAAAATTATATATTATAGAAATATTTTAATAAAATATATCAATATTAAGCTTTAATTTTATTAAGTATATTAATAATAAAAGATATTAAAAAACGACTATCAAATTTCTTAAAAACAATAAAAAATTAAATACATAGCAATTATACATTTGTATATAGTTATCAATATCATATAACTTTTTAGTTATTTGTAATTTTTATTGCATGCCAATATACAATAAAAGTGTTTAAATAACAGTATATTTTTTTACTAAGCATTGTAGGCAAAATTTGCACAATAATAAATTTATAAGTACCTACCTAAGAAATTTAAAGAATTTAAGATTGAACCGGGGATTGAACTGAGTTTTAAAAATTATTTATAATCAACCTAATTTATATTTTATTAAATGTTGACCTAACTGATTATTAATCTTGGCTAATTCTTTCTAAAATTTTCCTCAAGAAGATTCTTTCCAGGTAGGAAAAATACTAACAGATTTCATAAAAAAATAATAATAAATACCTAGATGCTATCAATGAATTAATTTTAAATCATTTTAACCAGTATTAACTTTTTAATAGGTTTTAAATAATACTACTATTTAGAGCTCCAAATGTTATTAAACATTAGGAAATCAATAACTTGAAGGTGAACAGCATGGAGATATGTTTACATTTCATCATTAAGGTGAAACGGGCATGTACTATAAATATTATTGTTGTTCAAGGGTTATTCTAGATAAATAGGATTGCTTATCATATGTTATGCATACATGATCAAATAATTGACAAATACAAGTGAAAATTGTGTGATATCCAACATAAACAAATGCGAGAAAGGTAAACAAAACATAGTAATGGGTACCTATCAGTTATTGTGGATAAGAAAAAAAAAATGATAATAATTCCATTGACATTGTACCTTTTCTTTAGTAGCATTGGACACTTCCCGCATAATTTCTTCGAAAGCAGCCGTTTCCTCGGCTTGTTTTTGATGGTGCAACGCGATTTTTTCACTGAATTTCCTGGGGTTCGCCATTTTCAATAAATACAACGGCCCAATCACTTTCCAGGGATGGCAATTGTTAATCGTGTAAATAGGAAAAAATGCAACAGTTTATTTATTCACGCACGGATGAAATACACATTTTAATAAAACGCACGCTCAATTCATACGGTTTGCTGCGTAATAGATAAATTCACGTATAACCCGCACAGGATGCACACAAGCAATTTAAAGTAAAAATTACTAGAATATAAAAAAAAATCTTAAAATTAACTAGACACATATAGTATATTATGTATTATGTTTTAATGAAAACCCACAATTCGGGCGAAAAATCGAATCATTGGCACGCACTCGGGACGATAGCAACATCACTAACATATCGAAATACAATAAGACCAACGGATAAATCTTAGAGAGGATGGTTAGTATTATTGAATTATATTACATTCACCACAATTGACGATTTGAAAAAAAAAATGAACGAAAAATAAAAATAACAACGAGAAAAATTGGAACCGTAACGGCACAGAGACGTAGGAAAACGATCGCGCGATAACGACGTCTACCTGTTGGCGAATACGAGCGCTTATTAAAATAAAAAAAATAAAAATAATAGTAATAAAATTCTCTGAATACAACACGATTTTACGAGATGATGGTGGTGATAACGAGGTGAGGGTGGGAGATTATCTTGGCAGAAAATCATAAGCAAAGAAGTTGTACACTGAATACATTAGTCGCAATATGGTGGCTTATACGTTGCTTGCACTGTGCACAACGTGTTAATGTAATCATTTTTTATTTTCTTATCAACCCTCCGGGTAAACTGTTTAGGTAAACACGAGCACGTGAGTATTAATTATCCTAAATAGTTTTCCTATCATTCAGCGTTCTGTCTTGACACAATAATTATAAGCAAATATTATTATGAACATTCATAGTGTGTACGCCACAATTTTCTATTTTGTCAAGTGAACTCAATTTGTGTAAGCCCACGTGTTATTTATTTTTCATTTTTTGTTGCTGTTTTTTAATTCTTCGCCATGGTTGTGGAAACTGTGGCAATGATGGAACCGTCTACCGGTGGAGATTCTGGAATAAAGCGTAAAAAAAAACAAAACACCGATGTGAACAAAAGGATTAAACCACCTACCGCTGAAGAGTTGAATAAGCTCAGGGAAACAGAAAATATGTTCTTGTCAAATATGTTTCGCTTACAAATAGATGAAATGTTAAAGGAAGTAAAACCTAAGCAAACTACTTTAGACAAAATCAATGAATGGTTTGATAAGTTAACTACAGCATTGGTTCAAGATATGGATACATCCAACTATAAAAAAGTACATTTTTTGATACCGATACCTAATATTTTTAATATTATATAGGTATTAAATTATATCTATGCGCTCTTTGATCTTAATACTTTACCAAACTAATTAATTTTGTATTATGTTATAATAATAGAGAAAAATAAATGGAAAGGAAGGGGTAAATTATTAACATGAAAAAGAATTTCAAATTGTAGTCAGGGACCGAACTGAAAATTACCGGTTCTGGAACCATTTAAATATTGGGAACCAGAACCAAACTGAAACCCTTATTATAAAATGAAAAATATCAGATGTTACAAACTCTATTAATTTTGTTAATTTGTAAATTAAGTTTTAATTCTTAATATTTTGAAGTATAAATGAATTTCTTAAATATAATTTTCTTAACATTTTTATTTCTATTTTTACTTTTTAACATAACGTGTTGACAGACAGACTACTAAAGGCGATTGGTTAATTGATTATTAAAATTAAAATGAGAATCCATCGACCATGATAAGTATCATTTGACATACAGTCAAAGGGGCAGCCTTCATTTGAGATATTTTTAAAATGGTTCTAAATTTAATAATTTAATACAGTTTATGAATATAATTATTGTATATGTATTTATTTTGTGTTAGGACTGTTTCATATGATGTGACATTTTATAATACGATTTATTTATGTTTTATATCGCTCAACAACGTCAGTAAAATTCAATACATTTTTAAAAACAAACTTTTAAAGTTTTAGATAGGTGCTTATTCTAGTACTAAATAAAATTTGAATATCTATAAATAATTTTTTGTGTTCTAGCTATCCAAATCAGTGTTGAACATCTTTTTTCTGGACTAATGTATGTATTATCACCATACCAAAGCAATATATCCAGTAAAAATTTAGAAAATCAATTATTTATTCGTATAAATTTATTATTTAATAATAAAAAATAATGTTACAAATTGTATGAAATTTTATAATAATTATTACTTATTTGTTTTAACTTTTGGCGTAATAGGTATACTTAATGTATATAATATATATATTATGTTTCTAGTAAAAATAGTGAATTTAAAATAAACTAATTTATTACAATAATATTATATTATATTATTAAATATTTTTTATTTATGTGTCTATGCATTATACAATATGACAGATTATCTATTTATCTATAATGCTGGTAACATATATATATATAATTATTTAAAAGTTAATAAAAAAAAACTATAAAATAAATTTATAAAAATGACATTTAGAACCCCATAATATTGGAACTCTTACCTTAATCCTTAGTTTGTATTTTTTAAGAACTGGAACCAGAACCGGTACTAGAACTGTAAAAACCAATAGGTTCTAGTCCCTGATTATAGTCGAAACTATACAAATTAAACTTAAAAATATAACAAATAATAATATAAAATATTTAATATGAATAATATATATATAAATGTATAAATGAAAAATCTATTATGATTGTATGATCAGTCTATTTCCTCTTTATTGTTCATGTGTAGTCCATTTATTCTTCCTTTATATTTTGTATGTGGAAATTCACTGTAATGTGACAGATAGTCTGGTAAATCTTTCAATTCTCATTTATGTAGAAGATACTATTTATAAGTGTAAAGAAACCAATATCTTATCAATACTATTAATTTTATATCTAAAATTAATTATTTAATAGCGCTATCCCTTACTTTTTTCAAGTGTTGGGATGGAACTACCATTCAGGATTTAATATTTAAAAATCTTATTGTTAAATTTTGGAATATAGTGTTAATAGATTCTGGAGTGAAATAATAGAATCATAGTTGTAATATTGTCTTAGTTGAATCAATAAATTATTTGGTTATAAAAATGTAATATTATTCAGTGTAGGTTTATTTTAAGTGTATTAATGCTTTTTTTAATTTGTATGACTTTAAACAGATGTGAATTTTTTTATAGGAATTATTATCAAATGTGAATATATCTCAAATGAGTGCACCATTCCATCTAAAACCTCAAAATAATAATGATGGTACTTTTCGCTTTACCAAACCATGTTCATTAAAAATTGTTGGTTCTCATTCTATAGGAATATCATTAATGCCATTAATTAAAGTTGATGTTTCAATTCAAATGGACAAAGTAAGTATTTTTTAAAGATAAATATAAATTAATGATTTTAATTTTGTTAATTTTTTTACTGTCTAGACGTTTTTTCATAAAAAAGATTATACTGATGAAAAGTATTTTCGGAAAAAGGCTTTTTACTTACAATGTCTTGCTAAAGAACTAATGAAAATACCAGATTTAGTTGAAAATGAAATACAATTTTCTTATGAAAGTCATTCATATTATTCACCTGTACTTGTTATAAAACCAACTGGCAGCCTTGGTAAAAAATGCAGTTTTTATCTGAGAGTTGTACCTGAAAGTAATATTTATAGTTTACATAAATTTTCACCGACCATTAATAACATTGATTGTCAATGGTATTTTAACAATGGTGTAGACAATAGTGAGTTTCTTATGAGTTATGATTATATTTAATTAGAATATTTAATAGAATAAATAACTATTAGAAATAATATACAGATCCCAAGAATTATCCTACACCTTATTATAATTCACTGATTCTGCAAGATTTGATAATGGAAGAAAATGAAATATTACTCAAAGAAATCATTGATGGTAATCAAAATATTCAAGATGCAATAATTTTATTAAAAATTTGGCTAACACAAAAAAATATTGGAGTGAGTTTTAATTTTATATTATTTATTATGAATTATTGTATGTACTTTTGTTTTTATTATTAACATTTTTGTTTCAGGAGTATGGAAATATAACCAATTATATTTTATCATTGTATGTTGTATATTTGTTTAAGAATCATAAAATAAACAAATTTATGAGTAGTTATCAA